TTTAAACGCTCACCCTCGCTTTAATTTTTGACAAAATTTCATGATTAAAGTGTCAAATTACTGGAAATTTTTTGTCAATATTTCCAGAATATCAGTTATATTTCCTTTGGGCGGATAGGATTCGCCCCATTTCGCATACTAATTTGCATGTATTTTTTATGGAAGGAGTATTTTAATAAGATATCAATTAAATAAGTTATAACTCGTAATCTGTTGAACCAAAATAAACACATTATATACTTTTCTTGTATAAAATTTAATCTTCTTCAATTTTATAATTTACTATAGTATACAAAAAGTTGATAGTTTTCGAGATATAATCAAAAAACCCAAAATGCGTACCTTTTTCCCCCCCTTTTTCCCCCCTCCACCCCCTGGCTCACCACCTAGGAGTCAGGACTTTTGGTATGTTAACACCCTAAGCCCCCTGAACAAGTTTCTGAAGGAATCACTAACTCTACACCTACTTTTGGATCATTCATTGACTGGACTAATTGTTTTATTTACTTTATTTGACAAAAGTTGTCATGAAAAACAGAGTTTGTACTTTGATGAATGCTTGCAAATAAAGACCTTATTTATTTATTTATTGAGTGTGAAAGAAATGTTCTTCTGTATAGACTGTATAAAGATTTTTACCCTGTTTGCATTTTTTTTAATTCTAGGTATATAAGGAGTTTAATGAGCAGTAATATTCATTTCAAGTGAATCTTTTTTTTAACAAATATTACAAGTAAGTAAAATTATTTATCATACTGCACCAAAAAACTGTGATTTTTAATTCTGTAAATGGATCAACTAAAGTTCAATTAATCAGCTGTACACTTTTTTACCTTTGTAAACCTTTTTTTATTCTTTCCTTAACTTTACAATCCGTCCTATGAAAATTATGAACAATAAGAAGTAAATATTATGAAACACAAGTAACGTTAGGGATATTAAAAATAGCTGCTACGCACTGTCAACAAAAATTCTTTTGAAACAAAATACTTCTCAAAAATCGAAAGGGCAGGTCCAGAATTGAATGTCTTTAAGAGTCTTCCTTAGTGGAAGCCATGTTGGATTTCTTCCCCATAAGAACAATGTTAACTTTGGGTCCAAATATCTCATCAGCAAATTGTCATATAATTATGGATAATGAGTTAAATTTAAGGAATTGCGGTCCTCTAGAGATTGACGTTTTTTATTTCAAAATTTTTAATTTTTATAATGAATAATTGATTATTAATTAGCTTAGAATTAAGCTAATTATTGAAAGGAAATGAAAATGGATTTTCGAAATTCAAAAACCTCAGTCACGAGTCTATTATGTTAAAAATACAAATTATAAATTTCAAAGCTATATCTTAACAAATAACGCCGTTACGTGTCCACAAATGATGTAATGTTTAACATTGTTCTTATGGGGAATAAATCCAACATGGCTTCCACTAAGGAAGACTCTTAAGTCTGTAAATTGTGTCAGTGTTGTCGAGCAAGTTCAATGCCAAATGTTTCGGATGAGATTCCAATTTTGAAATATATTTCTCACTCAACTTTGTGATTGATTTAGGTACCATAAAGTCCTCATGCAGTGTTCTGTTACTTGCGTACCAAGGTGCGTTGGTTATCTTTTTCATTAATTTGGATTGGTATCGTTCGATTATATCTATATTTGACGTACTCGACGATCCCCAAAGTTGCATTCCGTATGTCCATATCGGTTTCAATATTGTTTTATACAGTAATAATTTATTTTCCAGACTGAGTTTTGATTTCCGTTCAATAAGCCAATTTAACTGGTTAGTTTTTTAATTTAATTGTTGACGTTTTCTCCAAATATGAGTTTTCCATGTTAGCTTGGAATCTAAATGGATACCTAAGTATTTAACCTCAGTTACTTTAGGAAGCTGCATATACTGTAGTTTATTCTGACAGGAGAGCAAGCATTTCAATTTAGAATAAAAGAAAGTGAACAAATTTAGTTTCATTAATTTTTAATCAGATGCTTTAAACCAATTTAGTTATTATATTCAGGTTTTGCTGTAAATTTTGAGAAGCTTGAACTAGATCATGATGAATAGACAAAATTGCAGTATCATCCACAAATGTAGCAATTATTATAAAATATTCCTCCCAGATTTTGCAATAATGCACATAAGACAAAAAAATCAAAAATTTTGTTGGGCCTAACGTAACAGCAATAGGCAGTAACAAATTATTAAATATCAAAGAGTATTTTACCGACAAGGTTACATATCATCTGTACAGTAAACTGGAGGTGAGGGCACTGATAACATCTGACCGGTGACGTAGTCTTGTCGACGAAGGAAGAATGGCCAGTAGGCCTACAAACTTTGTGCGGTACCGTCGTCTGTCGTTCTTTCAAAGAATTTTGTGTGATTCGGCCGTGTTCATCAATGTCATAAGCTGTGTAAATAATGTGTGTCCGTATTTGTATTTGTGTTCTTCGTTTTATTTTAATATGTGACAAACACTCTCAATGTGAGCTGTTTTAACCTGTACTACGCAGCTGAAGTGTCATAATTGACACAACACGCGTACTGCAGTACTCTACTGTTGACACCTTAGGCTACTGAAAAAGGTAAATTAAATTATACTGAATAATTTCAGTTAGGTTTAGATTTCTTCTGGAGACAATTTCGTTTAGATTCGAATTTGTTACAGTAACTTGTGAAACTGCAAAGTAAAAGTTAACCTGTTTATCCTGAACATACAATTACCCAATATTTATAGGCTATATAGTAACTGTAGGAAAAATACAATGTATAACACAAGCGTAAAGTCTCTTTGCGCATGCAAATATTTATATTTTATAGTAGTTGACACAACGAGTGTCGTTAACACTATTTACACAAGTTGCGTACACTACTTTACCTACGACTGGTTTTTAATTACTAATAATCAATGCTTCTAAGAGCTGTTGCTTCCAAAACTTCTAAGAGAGGTTATTTTTAAATTTATAACCTCTCATTGCCGCTGACATTGATGCAACGACTCATTGTCCCAATCACTATTTGCGCCAATCATTAGCAATTAAATTGGTAAACAGCTGATTAGTTGAAGTTCGAAGCATTACAGTTTTACTTCTCTCAATCCTAGAACCTCATTGGTTCATTACCTGTGCATGTAAAACTATGCTGTTATGTAAGTAAACAATGCTGTAATGTGAAACTTTTCAATTCTGAGAACTGAACTGAAACGGCTACTTTAAAAAAACAGTCGTAGGTAAACTAATTTAATTCATCTTTATTTTAATAACACATGGTTCAAATTTTAATATAATCAGCTGTCAAATATTAATGTAAATTTCAAACTATTCATCTGCTCAAATGTTAACAAACATTTTCTCCGTAACAACATAGCAACATAGAAGGCCACTGGGGTAGAGCCCTGAGGAATATCAAACACTTTTTTAATGGAAAATCTACGTGCCACAACTTCTCCAACTACTTTTTAGAAATGGTGATTGATTGTGTAACAGCTTTTTAAAAAATTATCACAAAATTGATGCTGGCCTCTTAAATAATAATAACTAGTGGTCGTCCTGTGGTCGAAACTCGACCAAAAATAATTAATGTACAGACTTCTCTATTTTATCCCCACACTGTAAATAACACATGTGATTTGAATTTCTTCCATTTGTTTTGATTTTCTGTTAACATTTTGTTGTTATTTCGTCACCATCATGGCAACCCATATGCTCCATGTTAATTTTTTGAAGTTTTCAAATTAATTTTTTGTGCTTATTTGTTAGCCTATTTTAATTTTTAGAGGCATTCTGCACATCTACAGGAAAATATCTTTCCAACAGTATGCGTAGATTTTCTCTGCGATGCACACGACCTGAGAAAAAAGGTTTTAAAGAAACATGCTTGCCTATTAATATATAGATAGATTTAATAGAAGATAGATTTACTTCTCTTACTAATACTTTTTACTTTTCCTTGTTTTTCTAAACTTAAACTTATTTACAAGAGTTTGCTCAAAAGATATTTTTGAAACTCGCCAAAAATGTTATAAAAATGTATTTAGTCATTACTGCTTTGCAATCAGAGGTGATCCTGCACTATGGCTGTTTTGGAGATTACTCTGTTGTCGGGTCAGGGTGTCCACCGGTCACGGAAGTCAAAACGGCCGTAATGCACTATCAACTCTGATTGTGAAGACGGAAAGGATTCAACATATTTTTATTCATTTTCACGCCATGTGCTCAAGAATTGTCATGAAAACCACAGATGAATTCAAAATACTTAACGTTATCTGCAATAACAGTTTAACAATTAATAACGTTGTCTTCTTAACAGTTTAAACAATCCTGCAAGTATTGCTTATTTACTTAAATCCACCCCATCAATAACTAAAGTGGAAACCATTTCCACCAAACATAGTAAAGTGTATTGACTCACACATTGCCAATTAAACAGCCTTGTCGCCCTTGATATTGAAGATGAGTACCGTAGTAATAAGCTTGTAACATGTACAGTACGTACTGTTTACACTTCTGGCAAATACGCAAGAATTTTAATCTGGAATTATCTCACACATTTTCTTTTTCAATTGAGTAAGGTATTGTTACTCTAAAGACAAATGTTGAAGTCCATCTTTGTAAACAGGTATACTGTGGGATATAACCAGTTAAGAAAAGTAGGTTATTTTATTACTAGCCTACATGTAACATTATTGTTGTAACTTTAATTATGAACTTGCTAATAAATCATACTTAAGACGATATTATTTTATAGCTGTTAGAAAAGGTCAGTTAAACAAACCAGTTTTTTTTATTTATGGCAAAAAACCAACCTCTAGTTTTGTACAGACAGAGGCAGTTAATCTAAGTAGCAGATGATCCAGAATTGGTTAAGCAAGGCAAACTTTGAATTAAACGTTTTTTTTTTGTTATTTTTTTTTTGTTAAAAAACGTTGACGTTGTTTGAAATTGTTATGAAGTTGGAAAATTCTATATTGTAAGGCCCTACAGGAAGATTTTGATGTTTTAGCCACCATCAGGAGCTTCGGATGAAATGAAAGCAGAAAAAGTTAAAGCGGCCGAAGCGGAAATGCGCAAGGCCAGTGGAAAGTCTGAGGAACTGAGTGACGAAGAGCTGGAACGTCGAAGGAAGGCTCTCCTAGAACAGCTCAACGCCGAGGCCGATTAGGCCTCCTCTGTGTTCTTGTATATACAGATTTTAACAACTAACCTTAAATTAAACAAAGAAATAATAAATGGCTATTGACATATATTCACTTGTTGATTGTAAAAACTACCTTCTAATACTCCAGGGAACTGTAAAATTCATATCTAGGAATGAATTTAATTTTTAAATAGTACCACAAGCGTTGTGTTTGTTTAATTTTGTACATTAACATTGGTCTTACATAGATTTAGACAACCTGGGTAAGTATACACTTTTATTTATTGGGGATGGGACACTTTTATATAATTATCTATAAAATCCAATGATATAAGTTCTGAGATAACTCCTCAATTTAATTATTTTGTCCTTTCCCCTAAATAACGCAAATGTCTCGGTCAATATCGGTCTTCCTTTACATAATCGATGGAACAATATTTTAGTAGTCCTTATAACAGGTAAACCTGGCTGATAAAGATACCACCATTCAAAACAGATAAAACGAAAAAGTGATACAACCATTCTAAAAAAAATAAGAAATAAAAAACAGGTGAAAGTGACTACGTTTTAGAAATTCACTGGCAAATTTCAGATACCAGCATGTATCACATTTTTAATCAAAACCCTACAACACTTCAACTACATAGTTTTCAAATATCTTTGAACCAAACACTCAACTTAACTATCTTCTAAAACCATTAAACTTATCACACCTGAAAATAGATTCATTCAAAAACTGTTTGCCCTTAATAATAAGATCACAAAATATCATCTCACCGCCTGGCAAACTTATTGTCTCATCAAGTGGTCTAAGTTATCGAGTTACCAAAAGGGCTTCTGCCTATGTAGATTTACATCCCCGGCCTTTAGTTTAAAACTTATCATTACATGAGTGTCATTCTGTGACAAATATAAATTGCATTTAAACCAAACATAACTGTTCTGCAATAGTGGAATGTAACAGTTTAATTGATTCCAGTTATTCATAGTTAACCACTAACGAGTAATTAGTTGTTTTTTTTTTGGGGGGGGGGAATCATTTGGATTAGGAAAGCTTGTCAAGGAAGAAGGATTGCTGGATAGTGGATACATAACTAAACTACCCAAGAGTTCCAGGCAGTAAGTTAGTTGTGTATCCATCCATTCTTCTTCATCAATGCATAGAACTAGTTGGACAAACTAGTCGTCTGCGTCCCGACTAATGTAGTTAGGTGGGACAGTGCACACGGGGCGACTGCGATGCGACCAGTTGAGGACCAGTCGGCGATCAGTCGTTAAGCAACCGGACCTGCTGGTTGCTAGGTGATTTCAGTCGCCTGGTTTGAACAACTTTTCGCATATTTGTATTGCGCTTTTCAAGGATCGGGCATACCAACTGCGATAACTTTTCGTAAGTACTTTTTGACATCCTGTACATAGACTGAAATTTTGCGTCTGTTTCTTGTAATGCAGCGGCAGCTACAAAGAGCCTACATTGAATATTTGTTTTAACATAAGGATGTACCCAATACTTTCTACGTCCTCTACGCATTCTTGATTGTCTATAAAACACCAGGGCTTCCCCTCCTTACTTCCCATAGTATCCTTTTGGATACATATTATTTCTCATTTTTTTACCTCTCTGTAGGTAGAGATTTGAGTCTTTACCTCTATGCATTTTGTTTCTAGGCTTATTAGAAAGGGTATTTAATTTTCTTAGTGTTGGCAAGCCTGCGAAAAGAAGAAAAATATAATTTCAAATTGATGCAAACCAGGTTGTTGACAAATCTTGAAATTTAAGATTTTCAAGATAAGATTTGTTATGTTTATAATTAGTTACGAAGCTGGGAAAAATTATATTTCACTTCATTGCACCTTTAGCTACTGAAATATACATAGAATCCTTATATATAATACGTGAAGGCGATTTCTACCAAACACTACTCCTCCGTTAATAATGGACGGATTTTTACAAACGACGTGTCAAAGTAAAATATTTTTTGTGCAGACGCCCCCTTTCACCAATTTATGTAATAAAAATCCTCGCGCTTTGTCCCACAGGCCATCAAAGTTGGAGTTTCTTCCATAAGATTAACATGGGGGAATCTAAATATTTAATTGGAAACTTTGTCCCCACTAATTTGAGAGAACGGCTGGGCGTAGAAACTTGGTTGAGGTGTCCAAAGAAAGGTCTTGGTCTGTAGATGAGTTATCAAAAGAAAATCTAAGCAAAATCCCTTAGGATTCTGCCCCAGAAGCCTTTAAAGATCCATCCACAGAGTTGTTTACATTTGCCCATGTGAATGATAATTTTTAATGAAACAGTTGTTCATTTTTAAATTGTATTTCAAACAAAACATATTTAAAGGGAGTTACTGAATTCTACCAAATAAGTGTTTGCAATGTTATTTTCTTCTGATTTTAAAATTGATTTTCTTCTTATCATATCATGTTTTGCAATATGACGTTCCATTATGAAATCTGTGGAAAAACCTTTTATCACAGCAATTCTTAAATCATTTCTTATTGAACTATCTTTATATCTATTGTACGGGTTGGTGTCTGCCTTTTTCACCACTTTTGCCTACATTTTATCATATTATTCTACACATATCAAATATTTATGTAGAAATATCTGCTCTTATCATGTCTAATAAAATCCAAACATAGAAATCTAGCATAAAATGGTACCCATCTTGACAAATTTTTGCACCTGCCTATATTACGGACTTCGGCGCATGGTTTGGTAACATTATTGAAAATAACACGACATTTTGGCTGTAAAATATGGTACAAAGAGAAAATACTATTTAAGCAGCTACTGTCATGACAGAAAGGTCATATTCCTTTTAAACTAGATCACATAATCCTTTATAAGATACGTTGATTAACAATATGTAAACGTCAATATATACATAACAGCCAATTTACAGTATTTTTGCTTTTTGGAAATGTCCCATTGCTATGTCATTTGCATTATTTGTTGCCAATGAAGCCGCCAAGACCATACGAACTAGGAGGCCCCTAACAGTTCAAGAATAAAAGCCAACTTCACTTCAAGTATTCCACTACACCTAACATTCCGTAGAGAGATTATATTGACAACTTTATGTTATTGATAAGGCTGAGACAACTAACTGACATCCCCCATGTCAAGGAATTCCAGCTTTAACAGTAACCCCACAATCAATTTCTCAAAAATATGCTAGAGGGTTCATTCATTGGCACAGAAGTACGATATGAACTGACGCGACGTGACGAAGGAAAAATCAAACTTATATTAATATATATTTATATATAATATTTTAATCATTGAATGATCAACCAAATTTGGCAACTAACGTAATTAATATCACTATGGTTTTTGCACTTATTACTCTTTAAACAATGCTTAATGCTCAAAATATGTATATTTCACCCAATTTATCGCAGTTAGATGAATTAACGTAAGCCTTGAAAGTAACCGTCGATTTCGACGGGTTTCCCCTAGTTATTATAGTTTTCTGTTACTTAGGCCTACTTTTTATATATCTATAAGTATAAAAGAGGATGTTTGTATATATATTTGTTTGTTTGGCAGTGATAAACTCAGACACCGCTGGACCGATTGCCACAAAACTTGGTACATACGTGTAGAATGTCATGGAATAGGTTTATACACCATCAATTTCGTGATCCGTCCAATCGGCTCCGCCCCAGTGGCTCTGGAGTTTCCCATGTTAACCTTATGAGAAATGTAATTAATGAATCTTAACAGCTGTTTCAATTAAACAAGTTGGTTCTGTTCTATGATGTTCAATAGCATTAAAGTTACAAGGATTACCAACAGGGTGCAGCACTATTATTTCTTTTACATTTATGACAACAGCTAATTTGCAACCAAAAGGTGAGTGAGCGTAACGAACGAACTTCAACCTGGAGGCGAGTTAGCGTAGCGAACGAGCTAACCTGAAGGCAAGTGAGCGCAGCGAACGAGCTCCAACCTAAAGGTGAGTGAGCGTAGCGAACGAGCTCCAACCTAAAGGTGAGTGAGCGTAGCGAACGAACTTCAACCAGGACGTGATTGAGCCATGCGAACGAGATCATCTTGAAAATTAAGAAGTTAAACGGGGCAAAGCCCGCGGGATTATAAATAGTCAAACGCAAGACAACGTCTGCCGGGTTCAGCTAGTTTGGTATAAAATAACTGAATCCAAATGGATACCATGGGAACACAGAGTATGCTGACAATATTTAAAGAGTCCTTTGTGTTCCCATAGTATCCTTTTGGATACAGGTTATTTTTAATAATAGCTACGGTGAGTCGTCTGTGTTCCCATAGTATCCATATGGATACTGTTTTTCTTTTGTATTTTCTTCGATATAAGTCTGTTTTTTTAAGTCTGCACAATGATAAATATAGGCCTATAAGTGTTGTAATGCTTGTTTCAGTCCAATATTATAAAAATCATGATGTGTCTTACAGATGAATGACAATGAAGAAATTGACAAGTGGCTTATGATGCCATCTAGTGATATTGTAATAAAGTTTTTTACATAATATGTCTATTTGTACTCATTCTAAATAAATTTGTTTTAATTGATGAATAAGTAAACTTAACTTATTCTTCAATTTGATACAACTTTTAAGAAACTTGTATCCATATGGATACTATGGGAGTGTCAAGGTAAAATTAAAATTATTAACTTATTAAAATTAGCGAGCAATGGTACTTTAGGTTTCCATGGAATCCATATGGATACATATTTCTAACTTTTAATTCTATGAGGGAAATTAAAAAAAAAAACATTTTTTAGCCTTGAAATTAAAAGAAAATTCACAATAAACGTTTTTGTTTTTAAATGTCATAATCCCGGGAAGTAAAGGGTTAATCACTACCACTCATTTCATTCACCATACACAGTACACAGTATCGTTATAACAAAATTAGAACTCATTCACTGTCTCAACTCAACTACAGTAGCGTCCGTGTGCGGATTTAACCAACGCAACTGCAATCGTAATCGCGTCACAAAAAAGTTGGTTCAACTTTAGTTGGGTTTCAGTTTTCCTGTGTGTCGACCGCCTACATGTTACATTGGATTGGTTTGACTCATTTCCCTCTGGCTATGCTTAACACTACATGGGGTTCCACTGTTTTAACTTGAAATTCAATAAACAAAAACCATAGTGGAAAACTTCAGTTAGAAAATTTAATAAACAGATTAGCAGATTGTTTGTCTTTCTGAATAATTGTTAAAACAATGTATAAATAAAAATACTTTTTAAAAATGCCACGTTTTTAAACGCACTAAAAAGTAAAAAATAATTAAAAAATATGTTGAGAGAATAAATACTTGTAAGATTTAAAACGAAAAACGTAGGGCGCAAGCTAATTTACAATTAACTTCACCTATTAGACTATTATGATCTATTGCATGCCCCCCACGTTTTTCGTTTTAAATCTTACAAGTATTTAATATCTCAACATATTTATAAATCATTTTCTACTTTTTAGTAGGGGTCTGTGGGTCCCCGATTTTTTCGGGTCGGGTCGGGCCAGCGGAAGGCCCGAGAGACCGGGTCGGGTCAAAGATTTGTTCGGGCCAAAAATAAATAATACAAATTTTAAATCTATATATATAAAATCCAATGTATGTTTGTTTGTCCTTTATGGACTCCGAAACCGCTCGACAGATTGTAATGAAACTTTCAGGTATTATTAAGCATATTAAGGATGGTTTGTGTGAAGTTTGGTGCAGATTTGTCTAAAGGGCTCCGCCCCAGTGGCTATGGAGTTTCCCATGTTAACCTTATGAGCACTCATATTTAAATGGAATTAAAGAATCTTAACAATAACAGCTGGTTCAACTTAATAATTTCAATCAGTGATGTTCAATAGTATTAAAAAGTTAATAGGTTTACCAACAGGGTGCAGCACTATTATTTTTTTAAATCTATGACAACAGCTACTTTGCAACCAAAAGGTGAGTGAGCGTAGCGAACAAACTTCAACCTGGAGGTGAGTTAGCATAGCGAACGAGCTAACCTAAAGGCAAGTGAGCACAGCGAACGAGCTCCAACCACATTTATACAAGTATTAATTAAAGGTGAGTGAGCGTAGCGAACGAACTTCAGTCATGACGTGATTGAATCATGCGAACGAGCTCATCTTGAAAATGAACGAGCATTTGACATCAAACTACATTAGGACAGGACGCTGTTCAGTTGGGCCAGCTAGTAATATGTATTTTTAAAATATCTTGGAAGCAAAACCTGCACCTCTTAACCTCTGCTCTTTGAACTGTCTAATTTAAGTATTTACATCTGACTTAAATTAATTGATATATTTACATTCTTTCAAAATGTAAACATGAAAAATTTGGAAGCCCATGGGGCGTAGCCCAAGGGAAATATGAAAATTAAATGATATAATATATTGCATTGTCATCCATTTTTGAGCTATGTTTCAAGTCACTAGCTCATCGGGAAGTTAAGTTTGTCAATTGATTGCAAAATTTGTACCGGACAAGAAAGCGAGATAATAAAAATGTTTTAATAAAACCAATTGGTAAACAAATCAACCTGATTAATAAATTGCAAAAAAGGACAGTTAAAATTAACAAACATGTGTTTTGAGATAATTTTTATTTTATTTTAGGTAAGTGGTATAATACAAAAATGTTAAACAATTTTTTCTATAATACAATGTTCTTCACACTTTGAAAGGTATTAGACTATTTACAATTCATAAACATCAAGAATGTGCATATTCACTCATAAGGTGGCTTTCCTTCAGTGTCTCGAACTTGAATGATCCTTGCCTGAAAACAAACCAAAAGAGAATTAGAAGTGACAAAAGAAGACATCGGGTGGGAGGGGGAATTGGGTTCTAGGGTTCGAAGTTTTTAACATTTTACAGTAGAATCAATCCTTGATATGAAACTATTTTTAAAATTTGTAGTGATGATTAGTAGTTTTTTACACCATAGTTTTTTTTTCCATTTTTGTTACCTTTAAATTTAAAACAGTACAAAAATAGCCTATTTTGTTCGGCCCTTACGTTTTTTTAAATTGTGCATAACAAATGTTGCCCAAGTAACCGTGGAAGTGTAATTACACTTACCTCATAGAACCAAAGTGTACATATACTAATAGTGATTTGCTATAGTTTTGGAGTGTTTGAATTATTTTAATAGTGATTTGCTATATAGCCTAGTTTTAATTATTTTTAAGAAGGGTTGTATGTTTAAAAGATATTAACTTTTCCAAAATTAACTTTAACACTCGATAAAACTGTCAAAAATAATGATAGGTCAGTGAAACTTGTCTTAAAATGTTCCTTGTAGGCCTGGTTTTCTAAATAATAACCATTTACCCACTACTAGATATAGTCTTATTAATGTTTAACAGGTATAGTACCTACCCAATTACCCCAAAAAAGGCTATGAGGTATGAAAAATACTTTTTTTTTAAATAGAACATAATAAGTTGCAGGTATGAAAATTGGTGAAAAGATGTCTATTGGAAGCCTTAACCCCTTAACCGCCGTCTAAGTAGCCTAGTCAAAATCCGCCATTGCCACTTATTTTTGCCGTTTTTGAAGATTTTTACTTGTGATTTAAAAAACTGTACCAGTTGTTTTTTTAAAGAAAATAGTTATCAATATTGTTTGTAGACATCTTCAAAAACATTAAGCTTTAACAATACCCTACTAAAATTTTTGATTGGGGGGGGGGTTTGGGGTTTTCTTGAGTTAGGCCTATAATAAAAATTAGGCCTACAATAAAGTCCACAACTCTAATAACTCGTCATCCTCAAGCATGTCACCAGCCATTACGACTAATATTTACTACTCATTCAACACTACCAAGTAAATAACCACCAAAAAACACAATTATAATGACACGCATAATGTACGTAAGCATTACGTAAGCTTCCGCAAGCACGAGTTTTACTGAAACTACGAACGGAACTGATCGGGACCATTACTGCCCTATAATACCACTAAAATCCACCAGATTGCAGCACTAGTCAAGCAGCACTGTCAACAACTTGTTTACGTACGTATATCAGAGATAAGGCGGGAAGTGAGCTGTTAAAAATAAAACACAACAGCTGATTACGTCAACACGAGATAACTCGTACGTGGCGGTTGCTCTGAAAACTAGTATCGCCCGGCATATCTCGTGCGTGGCAGTTAAGGGGTTAAATGAAGGGATAATAATTAGAAAGTGTTTCTATTTTGTTTAGCCTACACAGTACATTTTACAAAACCTAGTACCCAATTACCCCTTTTTACCCTCACTGGAAAGTACACAGATCCCCATAGTAACAAATTTGGATTCCCATAGTCCGATCTTGCTGGTTCGCTAAATTGCTTTAGCCTACATGTTTGTACCAAATTTCATCATAATCGGACACATAGCATTTGAACGGAGGGTAACGACTAAGTAAATTGGTCCTGGTTGACCTACGGTAATAGTTTGTTCCCTCTAACTTGAAACGTTTTTCCCATTTGGACTGGTAGGTTAGTTCAAGTCTTCTCTATGAAGTATTTAGTATGCCTATGCAAGAAAATTGTGTTAGTTAAATATATTGTCTTAAATCAGTTTTTGGGTACTGAGATCTATAATAGTCAGCTTTCTTCACTGTCAATGACTAATTTCATATAAGTATGTTCATTGACTTATTTTTTTCTGTAAAACTTGAAGTATTTGTGTAGTTTCAGTAGGCCTATCACATGTTTTTAATATGTTAAGATATGACGGAAAATGGTAAATAAAGTAACTTATAAAATTTTGTACTTCAAATAACTTAGGCCTACTACTTTTATTTGACTTAAATTGATAATATAATATTGGTGCCCAAACAAAAAAGGACCATGTCTTGTGACAGAAAAAGTAATAGGGAAGTTAAACCTCCAAAAAGGTATTCCCATGATCAGAATGAAAACAATGATACTGACAAATTATCAAAGAAAGTTTCTGAGAACAGAAACAATGACAGTCAAGGAATAGCTTGTGACAAACCAGCATTAACTTACTTCTATTAGTTCAAGGAAAGCAAAAAGTAGGCTAAATCGGCAACATCAAGCAACAGGAGACAAATGGAAATATAACTTGAATAGTTGGAGGATATACAAAAACAACGGGAAAATGAAGAAAAGGAGCTTGGAAAGACAAAGACTGATGGAGGAGAAGGAAATAAAGCAACAATTTAAACATCTGGAATTTAAAGAAGCTTACACCACCCCGATTGATGAATATAAATTATATCAACCAAAATATAGGAGAAAGTATTCTTTTGTGGATATTTCCGTTTTAGGCCCCCTGGACCCCAAAAAGTGATTTTTGAAGTGACATCTAGCTTTAAGTGAAAATAAAGCTTTAAACTTTCTCGAAAACAGATTGAAGTTTTTTGATAAATATTTATTATGATGCATAGCCTTTTGAATTCTGAGCAAAATAGTTGTAACTCCCATTGCTGAAAGAATTACGGTTCAAAAGCTAGGCTACCTATTGCAACTTTTGTGATTTTCCCTAGCTTATAAAATTATTTTTAAAAGTTGTTGATGAGCTACCGGTAACTGGAGAAAGTAAGTAACTCATGTGTCAGATTGCTTAGCCTACAGGTACCCTACTGTTTATTTTTACTTGTAGGCCTACTTACTTGAATTATGCCTAGTCTGATATTGCTGGTTCATAAAGAGTTGCAATGTCGTTTATGATTCTCAGGAATTTGTCAGACGAATCTTTGATCATTTTGCGGTATAGGAATTCACCAAGGTAACCAGTGAACATAGATTTTTCTCTTTGTCTGTTGTAAGGAGGTAAAGTTGGTTTGAGTAAACTCCACAGACTTTCAACGGGATGATTCAAGTCAGTTACATTGTTCAAGTTATCGGTCAGAGTCACTTTATGGTCTGAACACAATTCTTGAAGACCCTGCAAATCAAACTCCTTGTAAACGTGCAGGCATTCACAGTAAATTGTAGACCCAGGTAATACATTCTTCTTGATCACTTCAATAAAGGTTGTTGTGTAATGGATATCAACAGGCTCCATAAAACATTTACTTGAATTTCGACCAAGTTCTACTCCGCAATATACCCATCGCTCTTCGGCTTTCTTGCCCCTAACAGGTTTACGTCTATTGAATTTACTTACAATAACTTCAACCACGCAACCATACCCACCAATTTTCCCTGAGTTTTTCACCATTACGTCAACAGCAACTTCACGACAGTAGTTAAAGTAGGCAACAACACTCTCTGAATTTGTTATGTTCAACTCTTGTCTCACCTGAGATTGCATGAATTCATGGATCCAAAAATAAATCATCAATATTATTTCTTCCATTGCTAATCTGGAGCCTTCAAACCATGTTCCTTTGCGAACAGATCTTTTAAATGAATGTTTTTTACTGCGGTTAGAGCAGACCCATTGATAGCCATCTATACACTCAGAGGATTCTAATATCATTGGCGAATTACAATTAGGAGCAGTGCAAGAAAATTCTCTTGCAATTAGACCTAGTTCTTGAAACCATTCAAGAACTTCTAATCTTGGTTTATTTAACTTCCGGTACACATCTCTCAAAGTAAATGGTTTATCTGAGTCTAAATGATATATATCATCCTTTTCTCCGTCCTTCATTCTGGATAAATTAGTTGTTAAACGATGTAGCCTACAGTTAGTTTTAACAACACTACCTACTTAACTTACTTATGGGAAAGCAAATTAACACAATACAAGCAGCAAGGGCTAGCCTAGGCCTCAACAAATCCAAGTCTTCTTGAGGAAAATATAAATCTAAAGACTAATTCTTGCCCGGATTTGATTTAAACATTTTAAGGCTATAACACTTAACAGTGACCAACAAGTTTACATGTTTGCAGAAATAATTTAACAGTTCGAGTTCAATATAAATCCTCAAAACACTCTTCCTACATAACCTCAAAACAGAATGTTAACAAATTAGTTTGATTGATTGAATCTTGCTTGAATGAGAATTCAATTCAATTCCAATCCAACTCTTCTTTCTTTTTCTTGAACGAATTATTTAGTTACGTTTACAATTTGGTTTGGATTTAGCTATTGGATTGGACCGCCATGCCCATTGGCTGGGGTTACTTTTCAAGTTTGAATTCAATTCAATCCAGGTCTGAGGTGGGAAAGGATATGGCCAGTCCAGGCCGCGGCCTTCGAACTGGCAACGTCGCAATTGGTGTTAAAACAGCTGTTTTTTGTTTGGAAGCAGCTAATGGTATTATTTGTGTATTTACGAAAGATTGGTTACTGGACTATGACAATATTGACTCAGCTTAAAAATGTACAGATATAGATTTTATATTGTTTCGGTTTCACTGGAACGGCCGCCTTTAACTACAGGCCGCGGCCTGGTAGAATTGGCAACGTCGCAAGTGGTGTTGTTCAGTGACAGACGTCCCATAAGATAACATGGCAGACAGGTGACATCAGCTCATTAATTCACACTTTATTGATTTAAATTTAAATTTATGAACATAAATTTATTAAAATATTGAAAATAAAACATACAGAATCGAAACCCGAAACAATATGAATTAAAATCTGTATCTATATATTATTAAGCGGAGCCAATATTGTCATAGTCCAGTAACCATACTTTCGTAAATACACAAATACCATTAGCTTCTTCCAAACAAAACATATGTTACAACACCACTTGCGACGTTGCCAGTTCGAAGGCCACGGCCTAGAGTTAAAGGCGGCCGTGCCAGTGGCCACCAAGGCCACCTTTCACTATAGGCCGCGGCCTTCGAACTGGCAACGTCACAAGTGGTGTTGTAACAGATGTTTAGTTTGGAAGCAGCTAATGGTATTTGTGTATTTACGAAAGTTTGGTTACTGGACTATGACAATATTGACTCCGCTTAAAAATGTACAGATATAGATTTTTAATTCATATTGTTTCGGGTTTCAATTCTATATGTTTTAGTTTCAAACTATATAATATATATAAGGCAAAGCCCTCACTGACTGACTGACTGACTGACTGACTCACTCACTCACTCACTCATTACTAATTCTCCCACTTCCCTGGGAGGCTGAAATTTGGTACACTGATTCTTAAGGCATTAAATAGGAAAACTAAGTGGTTTTTATTCTGATCGGACTCCACCCCAGTGGCTCTGGAGTTTCCCATGTTAACCTAATGAGTACTCATATTTAAATGGAATTGATGAATCATAACAGCTGTTTCAATTAAACAAGTTGGTTCTGTTCTATGATGTTCAAAAGCATTAAAGTTACAAGGATTACCAACAGAGTGCAGCACTATGTTTTTTTTTATATATTTGACAACAGCTAATTTGAAACCAAAAGGTGAGTGAGCGTAGCGAACGAACTTCAACCCGGAGGCGATCTTAAGTCTTAAGGTCCTGGATACTTAAGGGGGATACTTATTGATGATATGCTTATTTGTATGGGTATTGGTTATGCTTCTCATTTCTCTGTGATTCTTGGTATCAACTAGGTAAAACAACCATTCAAATCCATGCATTCCCCTAGTTTCGATGTTCTTTCTTTATCCTTAGTACTAATATGGCGACCAACGTCTCGCAATACCTCTTTTTGCTACCTCAAGTTATATGGTATCTGTAGAGATAAATGGATTATAACCATGGTTAATCCATTCATCTCTACGATTGAATCTCTAGCTCAGTGGACTATCGGCATAGTTAAGTCGTCTCGGCACCGAAGGTGACGGCACCACACTTCCGCTTGGCCGTGATAGACTAGAGACTAGGCCACATGGTTGGTTACAATAATCTTTTCGTACAGTTGCCTAAAAATGTACATGTTCTCTCACTAATTTGAGAAAGCAAAGTGACCAATTCGCTCATCAGTGAGACAATGTTAACATTGTCTCACTCCAGATTTGCAAAGTGAAAGCACGTAATAGTGAGCGCGTAACATGCAGACAAGGTCGTATGCGCGCGAAATACGTTGGCAGCACTGGCTGTTAATCAGATGGCCAGCTGTTGTACTGTTGTATTTGTCACATTAAAAGTTCACTTCTGTGTAAAAATATGTTACGTTTCTTTACCAATTTATTTATTTGTTTTATGGTAATTGTGGGAAAAATATAATGTGCAGCTTGAGTGCAAAGTGCAATTGACTCACTCGAGAGAAATACTTACTCACGAGCCGTCTAGTTGCACAAATAACTATTTCTTAACATAGTTTTATTTACAATCTGTTTTGCATTAAACAATAAGTAAATATGATGGCATTTTTAACAATAAAATAAAAAAATGAGTTAGCAGCTAAACAGGTTGGTTACAATAAATGCAAATACAAATTTCAAGTATTAAGGTAAACATAAAATTTAAAAAAAACGGCTTATTTTTGTTGAACATTAGATGAAGATGAAGTATTATAATGTGTACATATTTATTGCTGGGTTGAAATGTTGTACAAAAATGTATTTTTTTAATTCTACAGTCACTTAAGTCAGTTACTTATTGTTATGTCTAGTTTATAAAATTGGAGATGTCCGTTGGTATATAAAATAAATAAATAAATAATTCTATGGTTGAAGTTTGCGCCTGTCTCTGTCTCCCACTGAGCTGTATTTGTTTTTTGTGTTGTGTAGTGGTTGTGTTGTGTTGTTTTTGTTTGTGAGAGTAGTGAGTGAGTGAGTGAGTGAGTAGCGTAGTGAAGCGTAGCGAAGCGAAGCGAATGAATACGCTACGCTAAACCGCGAAACGAAAGCAAAAGCATGCATCTTCTGTCGCCTGCAGCCAAAAAAGCCCACTTTATTTGTTATTGAGTCCAAGTAGTAATGTTTAGATCTAAATTAATTATAATTTTAACTTTAAGCTATAACTTAAATAATAAGAGCCGAATCGAAAAAATAGAAGAAGCAAATACAGAAACAGAACTAAGACAACCTAGTGAAACCAACCATGCCCTATGCACTCTGTATGATTGTTTCTGTGCTTTTTATGTAAGATTTTTCTTATTCTTATAGGCTACTATGGCAGAATAGACGATTAATAGTGATAATATCAGTTTTATTGTCAAGACTTTTCTGTAATGGCTAATACCAGTGAAATTAGTGAGCCTGTCACCATTGAAGATGATGATGACGACGTCCAGATTTTGGAAGTAATCAATGAAACTCAGGGTATGTAGATTTTACTTTTATTTATTTATTTTGACGGCAATCACCATTTGACAATACATTTTTCTTTATAACTTAAATGTTGACAAGATGCTTTTTTTACATGGTGTTAAATATTGTGCAGGCCTATAGATAGGCCTAGGCTAACTTACCTACATAAAGTGATCGATAAAATTTTTGGCATTTGTTTCAACCATAACATTCAACTTTTTTGTAAGGGTATCACATATTTATATCGGGCTTCAAACTAAGCCGTACAGTATCCAATGATATGATATCCAAATGGTAGGCCTATGCCTACCTACGTTAGGCTATTTAATCGGCTGCACTTTAGGTCCTACACTCATTCGAATGAAAATATCGATCGATATATCGATGGGTACACTTCTATAGGTATCTGTTGGCTCAAACAACCGAATGAGCAATATTGATTGTTCAATTGCTATGTATGCATTTCCTTTTTATTATATGATGTTGAAGGAATTTCTTTTTATTCATAGATCTTATGTATATTTTATAATGTAGAATTTGACGTTTTCCAATGACTTGTATATTGTAAGTTTTACAGGAAATAAATTGATCTTATGTCTTATGTCTTATATCTTATGTCTTAATTCGATATCGTTTGTTTAGTTAGGTTATGTTAACCTTACCTAACTAACCAAACGTTATATCGATCGGTAGCCTATTTTCTTTCGGTTGTTTGTGCCAACTATGGAAGTGTGACACCCATATCAATTAGGCCTAACTTAATCAATTGTTTGGGTACACTTCCATGTCTGTTGGCACAAACAACCGAATGAGTTAACATATTGATTATTCAATTGTTTAATTTGATAAATCGTTTGGTTAGTTAGGTTAGGTTAACCTTACCTAACTAACCAAACGATATATCAAATAATCGATATATCGATTGATATTTTCGTTCGGTTGTTTGTGCCAACAGATATGGAAGTGTACCCAATTGTTTCATTTGATATAGGCCTATCGTTTGGTTAGTTAGGTAAGGTTAACCTAACCTAACTAGGTAACCAAACGAAATTACCTATTGAATGAAACAATCAATATTTTCATTTGAATGAGTGTAGGACCTAAAGTAAAGTGCAGCCATTTAATCTGATTAAAAATATAGGCTATCATACGTTCTTAGAAATCTATTGATGGCCGTTTCGAAGAAAAATATGGCCTAGCACAGTAATTTGGCGTGCACAGTTTGTCATTTTAGGCCTACGCCCTTTTTGTAAGATTCTTCTGTACCATGATACTGACATGTGCGTTGAGGAGTCCTTTACGTCGTGACTATATCTAGGTATTAATGTGTTCGGCCGTATTTTTCCGCAAAACAGCCACCAATACTTAGATTTTGGCGGGCGCAGTTTGTCATTTTACGCCCTTTCTTTAAGACCCTCCTGCGTTCCTGGTATGTGACCATGATACTGACTTGTGCCTTACCTCGTGACCATATTGGTACTACTGTGTGCGGCCGTCTATCACTAGCCTACTTACAGTAGAACCCCTCATATCCGGCCACCAAGGGACCAAGCCCCTGACCGGATAACGATTTGGCCGGATAAACCAACCTACTATGAAAATGATAATTCATACCTAATAATAATAGGTAATCAATATATTCAATCAAAAGTATAATTTAATTATGTTCTGGGATCATTAAAAAAAAAAACATGTTTGTAAAAAGAAAAAAAAATATTTGTAGGTCATTAAGTAATGAATGTACAAATATTATGATTCCAGGTAACAAAACCTATTAAATGGAGGTAAAAATGACAATAAATTGTACGGTACTTAAAGATCATTAAGTTTAGGACTTAAATGGTACATGCATTTCTACTCAACATTCTTAACCATTTTGTGAAATACAAAAATTAATGTACTTGTACTGTACCGGTACTGTACTACAGTAACCCCACTTTGGAAATAATCAACCAACTGATCAGAGGTTAGGCCTACTAGTTCAACTGAGTATAGTGACCCAGCAAATAAAATGTAGGCATATAAACAAACGGATAAATAATGAGAATAATTTATTTTATGACTTGAGCAGTCACAAAGACTAGTGGCTGCATCTAAACGTCTGTAAGCTGTGAGAAACAAAATTTTGATATTGGCTTCCTGGAAGGGGCCGGATAAACAGAGGACCGGTAAAACCAAGGCCGGATATGAGGGGTTCTACTGTATTGATGAGTTATTGGCAGGTTCACATTAGTATGTTAGGTTGGGTCATCGTAAATGGGTTTGTAGGACTTTCCTTGTTTCATTACGAATCGAAAGATACCAGATGAGTCATCACTCAGGACACTGACTCAGAACAGGTGCGGTGACAGTGATGTGCACGCTCCGGTTTATGACCTGACGTTCGATTCATAACGAAACGGGGAAAGTCCTACAAACATATTTATGATAACCCAGCCTAACATAACCGCCGCAGCGTGTTGTATAAGGGTGGCCTCCGGATAATACCAAAGTACCAGTTGTTTTTCATATTGATGGATGTTAGCCTCTGAATTACCGGTACTTTATTTAATACTTGGTGGTTTAGATACAAGTAATCCAATTCATTGTTTTATGTCACAACCGGTTTCAACTCCTTGGAGTCATCTTCAGGCGAGGTAGGATATAAGTTGTCACTTTATTTGAAGGTTGTCATAGATTTTTAAAAACTGAAATACAGTAAGCCTACTTAACACGAACATTGAACATACACTGATGTTTAACATTTAAAAACACACACACAATTACTGAGAAGGTGAGCAACGCGTACCGGCCGGATTTAAATTCTTGTAAGGAAATTAATCCGCGGAAAAGAAAAATTACCAAAATAGTTTGGAACATAATCTACGGTAACCTAACCTAAAACCCACCTTTCCCTAGTAAAGTAGGCCTAAGTTACTTCAATATCAAACTTAAGTAACTTAGGTCTAACTTAACCTTTACAATTTCAAGAACCTCGAAAACAGCAAGTTAATAAAGTAAAACAACCAACCAAACAATCCCTTAAAGGAACCAGCCCACGTAGAAACATTAACTTAAGTGACCACTGTTTGCGAGTCATGAAATGAAAGATTTTACTACGCCCACCAAACACATCTAATACAAGCACTTACACCATTAATCGTGCTCTACAAGGAACACGACAATATCCAAATTACGCTTACGTACACAACCAATGTATTAAACCCAAGTGTTGAAAAAGCAAATGTAAGTAACATATTGGTATGTTTGAAATTTAAACTGTCAAACTGAAAATTAACATGGAGAAGTCCTTTACAAAGAAATCAAAGAGACTAAGTTAGGCCATCCATAGGCATAATTATAATTCTCCATTACAATGATACCACAGCGGACCAATAACAATGTCCCATTTGAGTCTCGGTACACAATTGTACCCATAACAACAAATTTTGTCTGGTAAAAGTTTCCCCTCTTTCCTAAAGATCCCACTTTTCCCGATTTAATTATCAAACTAACTTTTATTCCAAAAACTCATTATAATTTCAGCTGGTATTGATTGAATTAGGCCTACCCAGTTTCTAGGGAAAATCCAATCAAAATGATGAAATAGGCCTACAGTATCCCATATATATTACCCTTTTCCCTGACTCACAGTGTACCCTTTCTAGTCCAGGAGCTGAGGGGGTTTGAGCATGCATGAAAGTAGTACGCAATGTTATTGCTGATTATTGTAATATGGACTGTGGTGATCAAAATTACGTATGTCGCCTATTTCAAAAGTGGTCGATAAGGTGGGCGGGAGGGGGCAAACATGGCGGTTTTGCGCTATGCGTTAAAACGCTGGTATTTCGAAAACGGTAAAAGATAGAACATCGGTTAAAACGTCGGTGTAATTCTAAAAATGTGGCCTACAATAATGATTATTGAGTCCGAGGTCGTATCTCTATAAATAAACAAGTTATTGTATAAAATATGTAAAAATGGACTTTTCGTGGAGTTTTTGTTACCGAAAGTAGAATTAATTTGTGAGTGTCGCAAAGAAGTAATAGCCTATCAATTATCTTTGCTGATAGTTGTAATATGGACTGTGGTGATAAAAAATACGCATGTCGCCTACTTTTCAGGTGGTCAAGAACATGTGGGGGGAGGGCAAAGATGGCGGAACGCGCTATGCATTGAAACGACTGTAGCTCGATAACGGTATGAGATGGGACATCGGTTAAAACGTAGTTTTAATCCAAAAAATATGGTCAATAGAAAAGGTGATTGGATAAAAAGTTGTATCTTAACTAATACAAAAGTTATAACAATAATATGGTTAACAAAATCTACATTATACACCTATTTTCTTCAAAAATCATATGGATTGTTGATAAAAAATAGTGTAGGCCTAATTACTTAATTATTCGGTTAAATATTAATTAGATGCATTTTCTTATAAGGAAAAAATATATTATTATTATTACGAATACATATGGTTTAAAATGTAAAACACGGCCTCCAAACGCCTTGGGGTTCGTCCGATAGGTTGCGTCATAATTGCTGAGCAATCTATATGTTTAATACACAGTTGTAACACTGTTTTCTCAGTAATTACTGGCCCGATCTACAAGATTTATGTCTCAAATTAAATGGGATAGTGTGTAGATTTGCCGAACTTCCTTAGAATTTACGTTTTTTCTAAGGGCTACGACCTACAGCCCTTTAAAGGTCGAGTCAATACCTACAATTCTTATTGAAGAATATAATACACAGTTTATAAATTATTCGTCAGCTGTTTAATGTTTGTCAGACATTTGTTATTATTTTTATAACCTTACTTTCAGTATGCAATTATTAAACTTGGAATTTCTGTTTATAAACACACGGTTTTGATCAAGGAAAGTGTATTTGTTAACTTATTTTTGAAATGTTTTAGTTTTCCTGCAAAGTGATCTGAAGGAAAGTGATAATTGAGTTTAAGTTTGAGTATGGATTGTGAAATAATACCCATAGTAGGGAACAGAAACTTATTGTTTTGATCAATATAATTT